AAGGGCACCCTTTTTTCAGAGCTTAGAACTATTGTGAGGGTTCTTGCAAGCAGGTTAGGGTTTTATGGTGCTTTGTGGCTTCTCTCATGCACTTTTGTCTCTTCCAGATTGTGCATTATAGCAATTTGCTCTTGTGGTGTTGAGGAGATCATTCCCATGGGGGGTTCTAATATGTAGTAAGGATAGTGGGTAAATTAAGTATGGTTGGCTAACTTGATGTATAGTTTAGCACCCACTTGCATGCCTGTCTTTATTTTGCATCTGGCTTAAGTTTACGCCTAAGCTCTATACCATGTTAGTTGATGGAGTACCTATAACCTCATATTAGGCCACCAATATGTTGAAATAGCATCAAACTTCATTTAATTTTATTTTACGTGTTAGTTCTAACATTAAGATGCTAAAAGTTCTAAAACTATTCTAATGTCACAATGTGCTCCTATCCCTTCACTCATTGAGTTATACACTCAGGAATCTGTTTGTACTTTACTCTTTAACTCCTTGAATTACACACTCAGGAGTCATTTGTACTCTAGTTCGTTTACTCCTTGGCTATATGCTTAAGAGTTTAACTTTGTCTTTTCTTTAAGTGGCTCAAGGTTTTGAATTTAGGTTTTGCTCTATTGCCCTTAGCCCACACATTAAAAGGTTAAAGTTCCACTTCATGGTTATCCTATAGTAAAACACCATAGGGTAATATTGTAGGGGCTTTCAAATGTATAATAGTGATAATGGGTAGATTAGGCATGGCTAACCAACTTGACATATAATTAGCTCTTGCTTGAGTATCTATCCTTGTTTTGCATTCAACATAGGTCTAACCCCCCAACTCTATACCATGATAATTGATGGAAAACTTATATCCTCGTGTTAGGCCACCAATATATTGAAATAGCACTAGACTCCGCTTGGCTTTGTTTTTTGTGTTAGTCTTGATATTGAGATGTTAAAAACTCTAGGAGTATTCCAATGCCACTATGTGCTCTTATCCCTTTGTTCTTTAGGCTATAAATTTGGGAGTTAATCCATGCTTCTACTCCTTCATTCCTTGAGCTGAATGCTTAGGAATCATCCATACTTTATTTCATTCACTCTATAGCTATATGCTTAAGAGTTTTGCTTTGTTTCTTCTTTAAATGGCTTAATGCCTTGAACTCAAGTTTTGCTCTATTACCCTTAGTCTATGTGTCTAAAAGTTAGAGTTCCACTTCATAGTTATCCTATAATAAAACACTATAGAGTAGGGTTATGGGGGCTTCCAAATATATAGTAGTGATAGTGAGTAAGTCAGCTATGGTTGACCAACTTGAGGTATAGTCTAGCTCATGCTTATCTTTATTTTGCATCTGGCTAAACTTCATATCCTTGTGTTCAAATTTGCCTTAGTAAATGAAAGAAATGGCCACTATGGCATTAAAAGTGGCATTTTTTATTGTCTACACACCTTGCACCCCACCATTGCAAATTACTTGCTATAATGTGTAATACATTATTTCTTTAAAATATAAACTTAGATTAATTTTGCACTTCTAATGGAGTTATAGAAGCTTCAAAATATAAAAATTTTAATTTATAAAATATCAATCACAAACTTTCACCATAAATATCCCAAGTTTGGTGTGAGATAGTGCACTATAATATAGAGAACATCTATTTACCTTGAAGATTCTTAGATTATCTATTAAATTTCGTTATATTTTATTACATGTTTTTTGGCAAGATCACAAAGCCCTAAAAACCCTAAATCCTAGCAACTTTAAGATTAATTACCATTTTAAGTATTCAATTTTAGCCCAAACATATATTTAAACAGGTATGATGTTGGTCAGCAGCTCGTTGACCACATTAATATTAAGTAGTATAAAGGTAAAATATCATAAAAAAACTTAACTTTGAATAAAATGTAATGTAAAAGGAAGATCTCTCTATGGCAGTACACTTCAGTGACAATCTCCAGAAAATCAATGCTACCAAGAAAATGTCGTCTTGTTGGATGCATTTGATAGGCCATATCCATTCACAAAAACGAAATCAAAAGGTGGCTCGCTCTGTTTGTTTATCACTGTGATAACGGTCTGCTTTATCCAACCGTCCTTATCAACGGTGTTTGCCACCGACGGCTACACTCACGCCAGCTGGCGTGTGCGCTGGAGGCCGTTCGATCCCTAACATATCGACGGCCGCGAGAAAGGACGAATATTCTACGGCATAAAGGGATAGCATTGCACGCCGCCATCGCCACCGGAGATTCACGTGTGCGGCTTCAAGAAATACCGCTTGCGCCAAAATTCTCGACCGCGCGCGCGGCAATGCGGACTCGCTTGGCGCAGCGCCCGGATTTGCCGTCTCAGGGTCAGTGATTCTATCTCTCTTCCTGCCTATCTTGCGGATTCTTGTGTGGAGTCGTGGATTTCGGGCTTGATTCCGGCTGGAGGAAGCAGATGTTCTTCGGGAGCGCTGGATTCCTCTCAGCCGGAAGGAAATGCTGGTGTGATTCGTGAGTAGAGCAGAAATTTGCTGGCTGGAAGATTATTTCGGGGAATTAAAGGGTTGAGGGCTTGCTTTCCTATTTGCTCTTCTTTTTTTAGCTTTGCATAGAGTGGATTGTAAGCTCCTCCGGCATCTTGGGCGATGAATGCTGCGAGCATCCTAGAATTGTCTAAACTTTGCTTGTCGCGGACTTCTCCTCAAATGTAGGCTCTGTCTATTGAATTCGTTTTCTCGTATTTGTCTAACCATGTGTTACTCGTTCCAACGCAGCTTGCGAAACAATCGAGCTGCCGCGCTCTTCTCACTGACGAGACGCGGAAGAATTCTTTTCAAAGAGACTCCGAGATGCCACCGTCAGCGATGCAAGATGTTTTTCCCTCGACGCCAGGCAAGGTGAAGATGGAGAGAAACAACTACTTTGGACGAGTTTCCAACAGATGGCATTCTTCCGGGTCGGGGAGGTATTTCTTCTGGATGTTTGTTTCGGTAGCGCTTATGTTCTATGCGTTCTTCCACATATCGGCTCCACCGGCAGTCCAAACAGGATTGGAATCCAGGCACTTTGGGAACAGGGCCTTAGCTTGGGGGGGATCGAAATGGGAGAAGCAAGTCAGACACTCTGCTCGGACCAAGAGAGAAAACGGGATGGTAGTTTTAGTCACAGGCGCTGCTGGCTTCGTCGGCACTCACGTATCGCTGGCTCTCAAGAAACGGGGTGACGGTGTGGTCGGACTGGACAACTTCAACAGCTACTACGACCCTTCACTCAAGCGAGCAAGGCAGGAGCTTCTGGAGAAGCAGTCGGTCTTCATTGTCGACGGGGACGTGAACAACTCGGAGCTCCTCGCCAAGCTCTTCAGCATGGTTTTGTTCTTTCATTTTAGGATTTTGGTTTAAATCTAACTTTTGCATTGTCTAGATTTACCATTTCCTTCTAACTTTTTGTCATTTCTCTTCTTTTGCTCTTTCTTTGTTCGTTTTCATGGCAGATCAGCAATCTCCTCCTTTGACTCTTGAGCAGCAGTTGGTATAATTGCTTGATGCTATGTTCTTGCAATTGAACAACCAAACTCAGTTGATGGTAGCATTCACGGCATGTGGTACAATTCTTTCTACTCTTGGTGCTAATCCTCGCGTTTGGCCAGAGTTCTTTCGTAGGAATCCTGGGGATGATGTGTATCATTGGTTCGATCACTTCACGCTGATTGCCACATATCATTCTTGGGATGATGCTTAATGTTTGCGTGAGTTTCCCACATGTCTTCAAGAGATGGCGTTGCAGTGGTACAATGGTTTGAGTGTAGCCACTTATGGGGATTGGAGTGTTCTTCCAGACATCTTCAAATGTGCCTTCAGACATGCCGATGACTGTGGTGATGCCTTCTAACAATTGCATCATCTTCGCCAAGGGCCATTTGAGTTGGTGATGCAATTTGGCATTCGTTTCCGAAGTCTTTTGCTTCGTGCGGAGCCAAATATGTCGGAGCGAATCAAGCTAAGAATGTTGTGGCCAGCACTTCATCAAGATATTGTCGGACTTATGCATGCACTTGCTCCCACCACCCTTAACAATGCTCTTCGCTTGACACAACGTTATGAGACGTCGCCTTTTCCACTTCTCGCTGCATGTCCTTCAGCTCCATTTTCTATGGGTGATGGTCTTGTTCCAATGGAGGTTGATGCTGCTGCTATTCGAGTCCAAGGACAAGGGCGAAGACGTGGTTGTGGCTGTGATGTTCGCTACTGGACATGTGATGAAGTTAGTCATACTTATTGGTGTTGTTAGTGTTTTCCGGATTGGCAACCTCTATTTCCTGGCTGGAGACCTTGGCGTCAGCAACATCCCGTTGGTGCTACTGCAGTGGAAGGTTTGAACATCTAGATGCATCCGGGAAATGAGGAGTTATGTGAGTAATGGAGGGACCTTGCGCGAATAATTCAGTGACCCCTCCATCTTTCTTTCGGGAGTATCATCAAGGGGTTCATTCGGCACCGGTTCATCCAGTGTTTACTTTTCAAGTTCATTTTTATAACAAGAGGTCTCCTATTATTCTCTCCATGTTGGTTGATACAAGTTTGAGTTTATCTTCTATTGCTCGACTTGTTGTCGTCTACACTTACGTCGTGCGGTGGAACCAGTTTTCATTCTTTATGGCAGCAGCTGTACACATGCATATGCACGGGATGAGGCGGACCTGGTTGTGCGTATGGGTAATCTCGAGCTTGAGTTGCAGTCATTGTAGGTGGTGCCAAGTCAATCTTTTGACTTCATTCTTAGTATGGATTGGTTACAGCGCAATCATGCCAAGTGTGACTTTGAGGCTTCTCCCCCTTGTCTCATACTTCCTTATGTTTCATTCATTCCTCTCACTTCCGTACCTCTTCGTCCCTCTACTTCTACCTCTGCTTCCATTACTTTTGTTCCCCCACTATTTCCTCCTATGTTTCCATCTTGTTCTACTCTTCCCTTTTCCGATCCCTCTGATAATCTTTGTGTTGCAGTAGTTGACTAGCTCATGAAGGAGTATTTTGATCTCTTTGAATTTGACTTATCGTTCAGGGCCAAGATTGCCACATGTCATCCGATTCCAACCGAGGATGCTCGTCCAATCAAGATTCCTATTCGTCGTCGGTCACCCAAGGAGATCAAGATTTTACATGTAAATGTCAAGGAGATGTTGGAGAAGGGTGCTATTTGGAAGTCGCAAAGTCCTTGGGTATATGAACCTCATCTTGTGACGAAACCTGATGGGAGTATTTGTTTCTGCATAAACTATCGTCCGTTAAATGAAGTGATGATCCTAGATGTGTACCTTCTTCCTCACACTACTGATCTCTTAGATCGTCTGGGGCGAAGTCGTTGGTTAACTAAGCTAGATCTTGCTTTTGGGTACTGGCAAGTACCAATGGCCGAAGAAGATATTCCTAAGATTGTTTTTCATACACCATTTGGTTTGTATGAGTTTTTGATGATGCTGTTTAGTTTGAACAATGCTCCAGCAACTTTCCAGCAGATGATGGATGAGGTTCTTTGCGATATGCCGGAGGTGACTATTGATTTCATTGATGATGTCTTGATCCACTCAGAGGGGATGTGGGAAGAGCACATTCGTGATATTTGTAAATTGTTGTATCGGCTACGCAACATTGGTTTAAAGCTGAAGCAGTCAAAATGCATATTTAAGTCCAAGGACACAATTTATCTTGAGTACTGTATTTTATATGAGGGTTTGTAAGTTGATCCCAACAAATCTGTGGCTGTTCTAAAGTTCCCTATTCCAAAGTGTGTGAATGATGTGTAGCGCTTCCTCGGCAAGGTGCAGTATCTCAGTCGTTTTGTGGATCATCTTTCTAATTGCACTGCACCATTGCGAGCATTGCTGAAGTCATCAATGCCATCTTTCATCTGGTCTCCGGATTATGAGCGGACGTTCCTGGATCTCAAAGAGCTATTGACAACTCCTCTGGTTTTGGCATTTCCTAATTATACTCGACCTTTTATTTTGCGCGTGAATGCTTCTGACATTGGTCTTGGATGTGTGTTGATGCAAGAGAGCTCAAGTGTGCTTGGTCAGTGCCATCCTATTGCGTATATAAGCTGTGCATTACAACCAGCAGAGATGAACTACTCCACAACAGAGAAGGAGTGTTTAGTAGTAATCTAGAGTTTCGAAAAACTTTATGCATATCTACATGGTTCTCGGACGTTACTTGAAGGTGACCATACTAATGTTACTTCATTATTGAAGTAGAAGAACTTGGTTGGTCGTACTACTCGATGGGCTTTGAAGCTTGAGATATATGATTTTGATGTTGTTCATTGCCCAGGGAGTTCTATAGCTAATGCTGATGCCCTTTCTCGAGCTCCTCTTCCTTCTCCACTCTCTTCTCATGTTTCTGACGAGCCTGTTGTTCCAGCATCTGTGGATTTTCTAAATGAGGATTCTATGTCGTCAGTGGTTGTTGTATTTGACGTTCAATGTCCACAAGGCACGAAGCAAGATCTACCTTCTCTTGATGAGGTTCGCGAGGCTCAAAAGATTGAGCCGTGGATTTGAAGGCTTCGAGATGGGTTTGAGAATCCTACATCACTTGTTGATGACTTGCCTTTTCGGCATTTATATTTTCAATATCATCTTGAAGACAACCTTCTTTATTTTGTGGGAACGGATCTTGATGATCATTTATAGTTGGTGGTGCCTTTTGTCTTTATTCCGCAGTTTCTCCATGCCTACCATGATTCTCCTGTTCTAGGTGGGCATATAGGATATCGTCGTGTAACCGAGAAGCTGCGCAGGTCTTTTTATTGGCGAAGATACGATGTGATATTATTCGGTATGTGCGCAGTTGCGTTTGGTGCTAAGCTCGTAATACTCCCCCTCGTGCTGCAAAAGTACAGTTAGAGTCAATTACAGTTTTCCGTCCATTTGAGTTAGTGGCATTTGATTTTATGGGACATTTTCCATGGTCAACTGCTAGCAATGAGTATGTTATTATTACTTCTGACTACTTGACTCGTTGGGTGGAAGTTGGTGCTCTCACTAGTGCCTCTGCAACTGTTGTTGGATACTTCCTCCTCAATCGAGTGGTATTCCAACATTTTTGTCTAGAGTAGATTCTTTCAAATAATGGTCCTGCATTTATGGCTGAGGCATTTCATGTTTTGACCTCTCGATTGGGGATATGCCACATTTTCACGAGTGCTTATCATCCACAATCACGGTCTGGTGGAATGGCTTGTTCGGACATTCAAAAAAATGATTGTGAAATATGTGAACTTTCAGCATTCGAATTGGGATGGTTATTTGCCGTCTCTTCGATATGCATATGTCACAAGGATGTAGAGTTCTGTTGGTGCTTCACCATATAAACTCCTATATGGTCATGATCCAATATTACTAATGGAGCTAGGTTTATCTTCGCAATTGCCACGAGCTGGCGATGCTAGGTCATGGGATTAATATTTGATGAGCATTCTTCCACTTGTCCGAGTAGAGTCTACTGAACACTTAAGCTGCGTACAAGTGGGACAACAATGGTGCTACAATTCCCATCATCGTCCACATGTGGAATACAAAGTGGATGATTTGGTGTTAGTTCGTTTTCTCTATTTTACGGTATATGGTTTATCTAAGGGACTCCCTACGCAGTGGAAAGGATCATATTGGGTGTTGCGGCAAATTAGACCACAAGTTTATGAGGTTTGGCATGACGTCTAGTAAGTCGATCCTCCAAAGATTGTGCATGTGCAACAGTTGAAACGCTTTATACAAAGGGATCAGGAGCAGTTAATACCACCTACAAATTTGCCAATGTGTCCCCTAACGTTCCTCTAGATCCCGGCCTGTCTAGAAGTGAAGCCTGATAGTCTTCCATTATTCCGAGACGAGGGGATGATGTGAGGGCCAAGTGTATGGCTACGATGCCGTATATTAATATTAGCGTAGTGGGATTTTGGTAGCCGTCAGATTGGTTTCAATTTGAACCACTTGCTCTTGTATATAAGCTAGGGCTTTTGGGCTAATAGATATGCACATTTTTTGTATTCTCTTTTCATATTCCAAACACTCACAACATTATAAATATATTATTAACTTTTTTTTTAGATCAATATCAAAATTCAACTATAATATACTCAAACATAAACATTAAGAATAGTTAAAAGTTTAAAAGCACAAGCGAAATCAACTATAATTCTCAACTACAGATTCTCGACTATCTGAGCAATGTTGTAGTATTATAGTTGTAGAATTATAGTTTCTCTGAGAATTATAGAAATTTTCTATAATTCTCAATTATGACAATTATTACAACAAAAAAACATTTATAGTGATAGCTTTAACAATATAAACTATACCTAATGGGATATATTCACATTAGAATAAAACAATAGTGCTAGCTGGAAATAGAAATTATATAT